AAAAATTTGTTTTTATTTTTTACTACTACCTACTCTTTTCCTGACGGTAAAAAAGGTCATGCAGTGTATAAAAAATTATTAAATTTTATATTATGTTAATATATTATCTCTATGAATAAAAATCAATTGCTGACCGTTAGTAGACATTTTTTGTGTGTGTTTGCGTGGGTACCTGGATTATCTAAGCGATTCACAACTGCGCCCGTAGGTGGCACTGTAGTCGAGATTCAGAAAGCACCCGTGCGAAGCCGGGACGGATCGCTAGTATGTTATAGGTATAATATTTTATAAAAATTGCCGTGTAGTAGCGGGGTAGGAGAATCCTACCCCGTATCATTCCCCCTATAGAGAGAAACTGAAACAGATGGGCAGCGGCATCTTCATACACGCTAAGAACTAAATAATAACTGAATAAACGCGGTTGCTGAGCGTGGTAACTATATATAACTAACAAATATCCTTCCTATGATGATGATAATGATGATGATGATGCTGATGATGATTTGATGAAATAAACATGCACCTTATATTTAAGTTTGAACAACTGTTTTCGTTTGTATTTTTACTGTATTTTGTACGGTTGAAAATACTTACTAATAATATCTAACGGATTTAGTTTAAAGTTAAACAATTAGTATCTTATCTTATACCTACAAAGTTAATGTTTGATTCGTAAATATGATATTACCTCCTTTGAAACCTTTTCTTTTTCCTTATAATAATGACTCAACCCGTGATAACATATACATATGCATGTGTAGCAGCATATATGTGCTTCATTAAAATGTGTACACACTTGGGCATGCTTAGATGTTCAGTTCAAATAGTTTTACTCTAAACCCATTGTTTTCCTTTAAATTTTACTCGTTTAAGACACGACCATACTGGCCATATTTACATACATTATACGCGCGTATAATCATTACCGCGTAATGATTATACGCGCGTATAATTATTACCGCGTAATCGCGTAATCCACGTGATTTTTCACAATTTGAAAAATAAAAACACCGTTAGACGATATTTTAAAGAGTTTATGACTAGCTCAAAAGTATATTTATGAAAGCGATCACGCGGCAACCACCAAAAAATGTCAGCCTTGTGTTGTCGCCGTATAAATATATTTAGAGAATGAAAATAGAAAATCACAGGGAAACAGCTGAATGCCAATGTTAACAGCTATTTTGGTAGCTGGAAAAACTGTAGTATTAAATAAAATACGAATGCTGCAGGAATACATAACATTACTACATGTAGTTTAATCTATTACTGTTTTAACGCTGTTTCGATTTTACCCGCCACCATTGCTAAAACGTACACTAAATTGAATTACCAATAATTATGTTATAAGTTACTAAGCTGTGTCGGTATCAGAATATAAACTAACCAGTGACGTAACAGGCGACAGAAGGATGCTGTATCAGGAGATGGGCAGCATCATCTTCTTGATAACAACGTAAATTTTTTAAATGATTTACAAGAAATGCCACGAAAGACGAATAATACAAAAATAAGGAAAAGAGGTTAATTGGTGAACAAGAATCAAGCCAGTTAGAAGGCATCGTCAATCCGATACAGACATTCGTAGTAAGATTAGGTTTAATGACGTTAACGATCGATTAAAAAATACATTAGCCAGACTACGTACGATTTTTTATGTGAGCTCATAATTTAATTTATATTGGTTGGTTTAATTTCTAGGAAACTTTCTACTCTTTATCAAATAACAGTTTTTTAAATTAAACTTTTAAATTATTTTTATATTGAAATTAAAGCTAATCATAGGACCATTAACTGTGTTCAGTTAACCGTTGGTCGGGATCAACGAGAACTTAAAGAAGCGTAGAGTAGATAAGTAGATGCGTAAAATATAAAATGCTTTTAAAATTCCTCGATAATGTAACGTGCCAATGTGCGCCAGTGCGTACGCACGATGTAACTACTGTCAGAGAATATATTCGTAAGGCGATTCGTCATCTAGAAATAAACAGGCGAAGGTAATAATCGAAATAGAATTATAGTACATACTTGAAGTGTCGTAACCAACTGCGTTGGCAGGTTTGAAGTTGGCCATCCAACAAGGGATTTAGGTGATACATTGGACGTGATGTGAAAGGTTAGGGGAACTTTTCGTAGCCAAAATCCTAAACACTACTCGATCTTAAGCGACGCGATTATTTTAATATTTGTTAATGTTTTATGATATTAAAAGTCAAATTAATTCCTTAATTCCGAAAAAAAAACTAGAATAAATTCCACTTAAAATAATTATCCAATAACGCTGGTAATATTTATGTGATATGGTAAAAATAAATATAAAAAAGGGAAATAAATTAGCACTTTCTCCCTGATTGCAAATCTTATCAGTACGAAGTGTATCCCTGTAACTATTGAACGAGATTCTAAAGTTACTCTCAATTTTAGGTATCAATTGAAGGCAAAAAATATTAGACCTCGATCCGCATTTTCCTCAAGCAGCATTACTTTTTGGAACTAAATACGCAGTCGAGAAGAAAATGATTCAGTTCGTTATTGACTAAAGTAATCATTTGAGATAATGTTATTGAAAGAAAAACATTAAAGTAACCTTTGAACATGATTTAGCTTAGACGAAAGCAGACCGTGGTGGAAAAAAAAGTAATTCTAAACTAACAAAGTAACCGCGTAATAAAATATACGTCCCACTGTTAAACTCAGGGCCTTCTCTCATTTCTAAGAGGGTTAAAGGTCAACATGAGTCCCTTGCGCTGCGCCAAAACGGGTTAGTAGACCTTACGTAGTGACGTTAGACGTTAGTGAGTCGTTATTTTCGTAATTATTTTTTAATTAATTTTCAAATATGGGTTTCCTCATGATGTTGTCCTTTACCGCAGACCACGTGGTAATTCAATAATTCAATATAATTAAACTACTTGCTGTGTGGTGCGACCTAAGAGAATTCACTAACATTTATTATGCCGTTGTAAGAGGCGACGGAAGAAATGAGTGATTGAAGCGTTATTTCAAAATGTTATTAATCGGTTCGATCCATTCCATTCATTACAGCCTATAAAAGTCCACTACTGAACACAGGCCTCCCCCATGAGGCAATCTATGGGATTAGATTTTGCCATAGTTGACACGCGCGGTTTGTCAAATGCAGTTTTGTTTATTTTGAGTTGTTATTAGCAGGATGCTGCTCATCACCTGTTTTAATTTCCGTCTTTTTTGTTTCTTTTTCCGTTTAAATTCCGTCTCCTCTTACGACACCCACGGGATATGGGGTAGATATATGGGGTAGTAGACATTAATGCACTGCCACTACACGGCAGGTTAATCGGTTGGAAAAGTTTAATCTTTTCAATATGCATTATTTTTATTATTTCTGTCACTATCTTTATCCTGTACTACACAAAAACCTTCTCATTACTGAAACTGTAATTTTTTAAACATATCTTTGTGTCTCTAATACGAAACTTTCTTTAAACATATAAATTGATTCAATATGGAGTCAAAACAATTATTTAGGACTTATTAAGAAACAGTAAGCGATATCTTTAAATATTTTAGATATGATAATTAGAAATGATTTTTTAAGTAGCAAAACCATGCTGCAGCTATATTATAGTTGTAGTACGAACGAGTCGGCTCGACCGGGGAAGGACCATGATCTCACAGAATGCCAGCGAAAAATAGCAGCTCAACGCTGCCGTGTTTCGTATGGTGTGTGTTGAGAACCGGAGATCCTTTTTTCTGGAAACGAGGCATTCCTTCTCAATTCTTAGGAGTGACAACGCATGTGCCCTATGATTTTTAATCAAAGATGGATGAAGATGTCTATGGGCCACAGCATCCACTTACCATAAAGTGGACTGCGTGATCCTTTGGCACCCTTATTCCATAAAAAAGGTGAAAATGAACAATAGAATCTGTGCTTGTACAATTAATTACGATGATGGATGGTTATTCTTAACTATAACGTACATTCACGTCAATGTATGTTCATTTGCAAACTTTAACTGTGTTTCTGGTAAGATATCGGTGTGGTTAAAAACAACCAGAAGGAGGAAATCATCGTTATTATTAAAAATATAAAAGATTTAAAAAAATTACTTGTATGAAGATAATAATTGTGTCTAGAAAAGATTAACAAAGAGACCCAGATGCATGCATTCGTATACAACATAAAATACAGAAATAAAATTCTCGCATGCCACATCTATCTGAAAATTTTCGTTCTTAGAATATACGTTTGTAGTTGTGTATATTTTTTAAATACACCGAGACAACTGTTTTAATATCAAAGCGTAGTTATTATTTATAACATGTTTCTAAATTGCCTTACATAAGTACTATCTTAAACACACAAATAGATAAGGTAATAGCCGAAACTTTGCACTTGCCAGTATTAATAAAAGACCTATATTTAAACGGGCACCGATAGTAGACTGTGGTATTAAATTACAGCACACATAGTACTCATAACTTTAAATAAGTAACGAAAAGGAAGAATGTTAATAAAACATGGTATATAAATATCAATAAGTGCGCATTTTAAAAAAGAACCTTTACGCTAAAATTGTAGTGCTCTTAAAATACTTGTATTTCTCTTAAAATTTTATGCAAATGTCATTTAAACTTTTGTGATATATGTTAATGCCTCTCTTTCATTTATATTATGTAAAAGAAAACTATTTTTTACTGCTTTCACATTTTTAAACAATGTTTTGAATTGTTGATAAAAATTTTCACAATTATGCGCACTTATTTACTTATAGCAACACTGGCATGTACTATAAAATTTGGTGTAGTTTTTCCTCGTAAATTTATTCACGTAAATGTTTTTGATTTAATTTATCGTATATAAGCCGTAGATTTCGCACTAAAAACATCCATTTATCGCTCGTATCCAAAATGAAAATTCCATTGGGTCGGGCAACACTGAACTAGCACAATTTCCACAAACCACAGTCCTCATTTGGTAGCACCATCACAAACTTGAGTCGCAGAAACTAACTTACCGTATCACTTATCACTTGGTCCCAATCACTGGTTTGAATTCATTAAAATATTAGTATTTATTTATTTAGTATACTATCGAGATAGGTTAGTGTGCCCCATGAGGACAGCGTCTGATTTGCTGCGTACCGGGCGTGGGAACAGAGCGGCGCCCTCTTTTATAAGCTCCGTGGCAGGCAGCGGGCCAGCTGCCAGCTGCGACGTTGTTATCAGTATACTCGACTAGTATTTCCATCAAACCACGTGTAGCCAAATACCTAACTCCATTTACTAAAGTCTCAAATTGAACGAAATTGATTTAGACAACGGCAAACGTATGTTGGGAATATCATTCTTACTGACAACCCTCGACGTTACCTTTAATTTACAAATTATTACAAACAAAATACACTATTAACTTAAATATGCAAAGAAAAACTTTCGCCAAGTATGTATATTATAAATTGAATCGTTCTTGCTTTAATATTGTGTGTAATAATTATGGTGCTTTGCTACCATCCTAATTAATGCTACGCCGTAGAACACTGCAAATTCTATGAAATATAAAAAGCTTTCAAATTGATTACATATACCTAATAAGAGGAATAATAAAAAGTTTTAATATAAAAATAATTGCGGCTGAAACACTTTTTTGTTACAGTTTACAGTTATATTTTATAAAGCTACGAAGTGCTACGACGTAGCAGGACAATAAAAATATAAGTCAGTGGGCGTAGTAAACAACTGTGCCACTGGTTTATAATAAGTAAAAAAATAATTAATGTTTAGGTTTAGGCTGGGTTTAAGAAAGATGTTAAAGAACTAAACTCTGTTTGAAAAATTACTGTCCCAGTATACGTCCTTAAAACAGAGGTTACCCTCTTAGCTCTTCCTTATATATATTATTATTAAACTTCCGTATGTGTTTGTTACTGAACTCAAATGGCTGGACCGATTTTGATGAAATATTTTGTGATGTGTTCCTGTGTTCCTGAGTGAGTTCCTGGACGATTTATATTTAAAATTGGACCCGGTAGGTGGCGCTGTTGTCGAGATACAGAAATCATCCGTGCGAAGCGGAAGCAAATCGCTATTAATATAGAAATTCAAGTTTAGTGAGTTCATGTAATATCAGTGAGAAAGAGTTGTTCCGTTGTATTTAATACTTTAACCATTTTTGCAAATTGTTTTTTAACCTCTCAACCCCCTAGCGGTCTCATGAGACCGCGGCCATATTCCGTCAAATCCCTAGCGGTCTCATGAGGTCGCACCCACCCACAGCACTTTAACCCATAAAAGCATATATATAGCGACTACTTTTAAGAAATTTGGCATTATATAATCACTATGAAATACTCTATCCTCTAGTGCAAAAAAACTGTTATCTTATGAATATTTTTTTTATTTATTTAATAAGGCTTACCAACTAAATACATATAGAAACAATTATTATGAGGTGCACTTAAAAAATTGTATATATGCATTTAAATTAAAGGTAAACACAACATATAATAAAAGACTTCCTTTAAGGAGAATAAAACTATCACTACAATAAAATAATAAAATTAGAACAAACAAAAAAAAACCTATCTTATATAATGTATAAATGGAAAAAAGAGAGGAAGTAAAAAAACTTTTAAAAGGAAAAAATTATTTGGCTGTGTAATGTGTTAGTACCTTCCTCTTTAAAACATTTAAGCTATCAAAATGGATATCCACATCACAATTTTGAAATGTTGAATTGAATGCATTCAACAAGGATGATAAAGGTGTGTTTCTGCCATATTCATTACGACTCTTTTTAATGTGAAATGGTTTGTAGTTATGTAGACGTGCACTAATTCTTGGAACAGTGATATCGATATCAAGTAAGAGAGACCGACAGTCAATTTTAAAACTTAAGAGCTTGTGCAAGAAAGTTATACTTAATACATCCTTACGCCTTTCTAAAGGTATCGTATGATAATGCTCAAGTCTTTTCTTATAGCTATTAAAAGTGTGATAAGTCCCTTCGATGTAACTGAGTCTAGCTAACATTCTTTTTTATATCTTTTCTATACGTTGTATATTGTTTTGATAACTAAGATACCAAACAAAGGAACAGTAGTCTATATTGCTACAGAGGGCCTTTAAAGCTGGTATGGACTTAAATTCTGTAGTGTTACGAGAGATGAATGCTATTAATCTATTACACTTATTTATTGTGATATCAATATGACGTGTGAATCTCATTTCGGAATCAATGTTTAGACCTAAATCTTTAACATAGTTTACTTTATTAAGACGAGTATCTGCAATATAGTAATTAGTCTCGAATTTTTTATATTTCCTTGAAAATTTTATGTGGTGATATTTTTTACATTGAGTTCCATCTTATTACATTCACACCATTTACAAAGATCGTTAATATCCCTCTGTAATAGTAACTGGTCCTCCGTGCACTTAACGGTTCTAAAAAATTTCAGATCATCGGCATATAATATTAACTGACTGCTATTTAATACATGTTTTATGTTATCTATAAACAAACAAAATAAAATTGGACCCAGGACTGAACCCTGAGAAACTCCAGAAGTAGCTTGAAATATATGAGATACAAATCCGTTTACAACAACCCTCATTACTCTATTTTCTAAATAGGATTCAAACCATCTCAAAAGACATCCATCAATAAAAAAAGTTTTTAAGTTTAGCCAGTAATATTTTATGGTCCACTTTGTCAAAGGCCTTGCTAAAGTCGGTGTAAACGGCATCAACCTCATTGCCATTACTTAGTTCGGTTAAAACCTTTTCGACAAAGAACATTAAGTTGGTTCTTGTGGAACGCTTCGCAAAGAAACCATGTTGATAGTCACTCAGAAGTTGTTTTACGTGCCACTTTAAATGGTTACTAACAAGAGATTCAAATATTTTTGACAAAGTGGAAAGTATGCTGATAGGTCGATAATTACAGATATCACTGATACTTCCGGATTTATGGATTGGTCGATAGCCTCTTTCCATATGTTTGGAAAAATACCTTCCGAGATAGATTGGTTGTAAATTAAATGTAGTGGTGTCGACAATATTTTAGCACATTTTTTTATGAATATTGGAGGTAATCCATCAAAACCGGCTCCTTTATTGGTATTAACCCTAGCAAGTTTAACTTCAATATCCTTTTTAGGTATTTGTATATAATTCAGATTAAGAGAATTTGTCACACTCTCGTTAACTCTCGAGTAAGACTTATCTTGGACTTTGGAGGGTTTGTTATAAACAGATTCAAAGTGCTCAGCAAATAAGTTGGCAATACCACTACCGTCATTAGCACCTTTGTTCCATAGTTCTATTTCCTTAGGGATCGAGTCATTATTATTACGTTTATTCTTTAAGTAAGACCAAAAATGTTTCGGATTATTTAAAATATTTCTTTGCACATTATTTATGTAGTTGCTGTAACTCTTATTAATTAACGTGTTTGCTCTTTTTTTTAACAATTTATATTCGTATACGTCACGATTGTTTTGATATTTTTTCATTTTTTTGCGGCTAATTTCCTTTATAATTTAATATTTCTTTATAAATATATATTTCTTTATAATCTACGTTTATTTCATACGCCATTTTCGCGTGAATATTATTGCGTTGATTTTTGGATTTTTCTAGTGTTTTATTAGTGTTTTAGTATAGTTTTATTGTAAAATTATAATGAAAGTTTTGTGTGAATATAATTTATCTTTTTACGTAAATAATTTTGAGTAATATATATTGAAATAATTGTGATTTTCACGCTGCCGACATTCGCTTGGTATGTTTTTTTTTGTTATCAAAATACAATAAAATCTTTTTGTAATGAAGTAATACCTGACTTTTGTTTAGACCACAAGATAGAGAATTTTGTATAGATTTTATAATGCTAAACTTCTTCATAGAAAAGTAGTCTCTAAATATAAGTTTTAATGGTTTTAAGTGCTGTGGGTGGGTGCGGTCGCATGCAACCGCTCGGGATTTGCCGGGCGCTTATTTTCGGGGATTTTTATGGCGCTTGAGGGATTAAACGGCATCTTCTAATAATTTATTGAAATATTTCCACATTTTTGTAGATGTTGCCTCAAATGTCTGTTCCGCCTTAGGGCGTTTTCGATCAGGTCTCTGCCTTACTGGCTTGCTTTGGTTTTTCCAGCGCTGTAGTCCTCGTAGACTACAACGACTACGAGAAAAGTTTAATTAAATTAAGAGCACGCATGGTTTATCTTCCTTGTATTTAGTGTAAAACCAGGTTCAGCCTTGATGGTTCGATAAAAATGAGATTGAAGTCAATCAAATCAAATTATGACGAACGAGCGACAACTGTTCTGTCATGTTCCAGCGATCACGGGGGTGCTAGTATGTGATGTGGGCAGCGCTAGCAACTCGCAGCGACCAACGAACTGCGTGAGATACACTAAATCTTATTGTTAAGTTGGAGCGGTCATCTCCACATAAATCAAAAAAAATTCTCTCTTGTGGTCTACCCATACGGTCGGAGCTAAGTTTTGCAAGAACTCTCACAATAATACCGAAAATTTTAAGATCAAACTAAATAATCTAATAATGAGGCAAATAATCTTCAGTGCTCTCTTACAAGAATGCGCGACAATACACAGGGAACCAACTGCACGTTTTAAGAAAGTCAATAGCTTATCTTAACCCCCAATACGAGTATGGAAATTACACTCTGGGGCGTCTCAACGATATGTATATTTAACTTTTGAGAAATAAAAGTATTTAACAGCCAGCCTATCAGCTTACTAATCTGTTGGGTTATGTCGGTTACTCTGGTACTATTGCAGTTATCCTCGTTACGGTGTACTTTCTTTTTATAGCTCGTTGAGCGACATTAAGCTTCTTCACACGGCAAGCAGTGAAAGACCACGTCGCCTTTGAGTATACTCAAAGCACGTCGCAAACTCAACACTCTTGTTTTAATGTTTTGAGGAATACGGGACCAGAAGATGGGTCATAACTTCTAAAACTCTGCCTTATCAAGTTGGATCCATTAATTCACGTCTCGACCGAAGTTGAACTTA